GCCCCTAGAGGACAGAGTGGAACTGCCCACAGGGTCTCCAAGGCTGTCAATCTTCACAGAAGCAAAGCCCAAACCAAACCCACTGCCATGGAGTCCATTCCGACCCACAGCGCCCCTAGAGGACAGACTGAAACTGTCCTAGGGTCTCCAAGGCTGTCAATCTTCACAGAAGCCAACGTCATCGGAGCGGCTGGTGGGTTCAAACTGCCAACCTACCGGTTAGCAGCCGAGTGGTTTAACCACTGCACCACCTGGGCTCCTTGTGATAGCTTAGGGGAGCCCACCAGGCTCTCTCTGGTTGGTCTTGACTTGGAGGCTGAGGCAAACATCAAGGAAGTTGGCCACCACTGACCACGTCTGGCCCCTGCGGGCCGAGTGCTGCCGGGGCTGTGCTTGGCTCCCAGGCTAGGCGGGGACAGTGGACAAGAGCTCCGTGGTCTCCCAGGTCTGGCCGCTGCCACTCTGTTTATTCCGGCTCTCAGGCCCTTGAAGAGAGCGTGGACACAAAGGAGGGGGCAATAAAAAACCACCGATGAGCTGAGATGTGCAGAGAAGGCTGCCGGCCAGACTGGACTCTGAGACGGAACTAAGGTTCCAGGTGACAGCATGGAAGAGAACGTGACCCAGGGTCAAACAGAGGCCCGGGGAAGGGAGCACCCCGACGGGATGTAAAATGGCGCGGCTCCTCTGGAGTTGGCAGTTCCTCACAGTGCTAACCAGCATGTAACCACAAGACCCAGAATTTCACCCGAGCTGTACACCCGAGACAAATGCACACACCAGACCCACAGACAGCTGTTCACACAGCTTTACTGACAGCCAGACAGTGAGAACTACCGAAGTATCCATCAGCTGAACAGACGAAACACGTCCCATACACACAGCAGGGCAGTGCTCAGCAGGGGGGAGGAGCAAGGCCCTGACACCATCTGCCGCGTGGAAGAACCCCGGAGACACCGTGACGCTCGGGATGGGCACGTCCACAGAGAGAGAAATGGCCGGGGGCAGGAAGGGGAGTGCGTGCTGATGGCTGTGGGCTTGCTTTCTGCGCTGATGAGGACACTCTGAAGTTGGACACTGGTACACAGTTCTGAGCACACAGAAAGCCACTGGGAGGTACACTAAATGGGTGGATGTCCCGTCTGAACCGCTGGCGATGAACGCCTTTCACACAATTCTGAAGGCATTCTTGTCCTGCTCGGCCCCGTGAAGTCCAAGCATCTGCCTGGGCTTCATCTGTGGGCCCAGGCACTCTCCTCTCTGTGTCCTGAAATGCCACCAACGTGCGAGCCAGGGCCCTCCGCTCAGGCTTCCCTGTCTTCCGAGAACACAGCCAGCCAGGCAGGGCCCCTTTGTTCTCGTCTATCCCACGTTTGGGGGCTGTTCCATTTCCTGTGTGACTTCTGCAGCCATTGCTGGGAGCCCTTCTTGTTTTCGGCCCCTGTGCTCTACACGCCCCCCACTGCTGTGGATACCCCCAAACGCTGCAGCTGCCGTTTGGTGTGTGGTATCCGGGAGGCAGGAACCCTGATCGCTTCGCAGACCACCGCAGGTGCTCACCATTACCTTGTTTCTGAAGTTGCTGGTGACCCTGCTGTGCTGGCTACTGGGGGCCCAGCAGGGGAGCACACAGCCTGCGCACAGGTCACCCCGAGGCCTCCAGAGTGCGTTTCTCCAGAGGACTGTGGCGTCCTTCCTGGGGGGCCTCCCTCAGAGCTGGCACTGGCACAGAGTCGGGGAGAGTGATGCCCCATGAGTCCAAGTGCCAAGTGTCCCCTCTGCCACCTCGCCCGGCAGCCACCTCACTGAGAAAGCTCTGGAGTCCTAAGACTCTTCTGCCAGGTGTCCCTGGCAGAGATCCCCTCTCCCTGGCAGGCGGCTAGGCAAGCATGAAAAAGGGGGGCGTCCTGGCTGCAGTGAGGCAGCTACACCCCTTCTCAGCAACCAGACTCTCCCCACCTGACCCCAGGGCTCCAGAGGGGCTGTCACCACCCTGGTGGTCATTTCCAAATCTGCTGAGGCAGATGCCACTCTGTGCCCACGCCCACCAACATGGCGATCTCCCTTCCCTGTCCCTGGAACGGACACCTTCTTCTGCCATTGCACGGTTTCCTGTTCACTCCACAGAAAAGGAAACAGCTGCTAATGCACTCAGTTTAGAGGAAATACGGTGACTAGTGCGCGTGATTTCACCTGACTTGGGGGAAATACACACACACACACACACAGTGTGTGGCTCCCTCTCACTGGTGCAGAGCTGTGCAGGGACAGAGCGGGCACCTCAGAGGGAGCGCCATGTCAAGTCCCAATAGCTCCTAGGCAGGGCAAGAGGGTTCCTGCCACTCCTGCAGTTCGCTCCTTTCAAACATGTTGTAGTTGTCCTTACTATGGGGTGGATCCCTACTCCGACGGCCCCAGGCAAACCCCGCGTGTGCACAGCAGTGCTCCAGTCATTTCCAACTCCGTGACCTGCTGCACAGAGACTGGTGCCAGGCCTATCTCCCACAGCACCCCCGGCTGCACTCAAACCGTCAACCTGTTTAAGGAACACAACACGTGCGTGTCCATTCATGCTGGGCCACACGGGGCACGTGTCCGTTCACGCTGGGGCACACGGGACACGTGTCCGTCCATACTGGGGGCACACGGAACACCTGTCTGTTCATGCTGGGGGCACACGGGACACATGTCTGTCTGCACGCTGGGGACACACAGGACACGTGTCTGTTCACACTGGGGGCACATGGGACACATGTCTGTTCACACTGGCGGCACACAGGGCACGTCTGTTCACGCTGGGGCCACACTGGACATGTGTGTGTATCTCCACACTGAGCACACAGGACACGTGTGTGCATCTCCACACTGAGGGGCAGAGGTGTCTGCTGGGCACTCCCTCATGCTTCTCCACGTCATTCTAACTCCTCGACGTGCAGACATGAACGCTAACGCCACAGGAGAGCCTCGGAAGAACCTGCCCAGCTGTCCACCTCACCTGTCCAGGGCTCTGGGAGGCATGTTGCCTTGAGTAGAGGACCCTTGAGTCTGGGGTGAAAAAGGCCCCCTGCCAGGCCCACTGACCCTAGGCCACCGCCTGGAGCGGAGACTCTCACCTGTCACACAGGTGCACACCCGCCTGGGGCGGAAACCCTCACCTGTCACACAGGTGCACACCCGCCTGGGGCGGAGACCCTCACCTGTCACACAGGTGCACACCCGCCTGGGGCGGAGAC